CAGCCACGTCCGATATAACTTACGATAGCACGGATCCCCCCAGCCTGACGGTGTCGACGCGGCGCCGGCCGGCGGCCGTGGTAATCGTCGTTCCCGACGCGGGCGTTGAGCCGCCAGAGGGCGCGAAAAGCAACCACAACAGGGGCAGTGGGTTAGCCGTAATTGGGGCGCGGGCGGTAGGTGAAGGTCACGTATAGGAGCCTGGTTAGTTGCGGAAAGTTGCAACGGGATAAGAACGTAGACAGTTAAATATGACATGCTATATGATATTTAGGACTGCACTTCGTTTGATACGCATTGTTTACCGCTAATAGGATGATTTAAATTAGATTCCCTATGAAAGGCTAGGGACCCTATGACAATATTCTGGCACTCTATAAAGATAATTTGTTTAGGTAACTAGTAGCCCATCAGAAGTTATCGAACGAGTTTCAAGGAGGCATTTCCGTTTGAGCATTCAGTAATTCACTATGATACGGTGGATCACAACCAGACGACAGATCGGTGCGAACTCATTGGTTCTAGATCATCTGATTAAATCAAGAACGGTTCAAGGTTTGCTAGGATTGTATACGAGAACTGATGATTAGGTTCACGCGTGCAGCAGCAATTAAGACTTGAGATTACGATTTGGTTGGGATAAATAATGCGTTTTTTGTTCTTCGCGTTCTTGCGAGTTAGCGCCAATAATTACTCCACCAATATTGGCACAGGGCATTGTGAGGCACAGACGGCTTGTTTGCCCGTCTCCTATGGCGTAACGTTTACCAGCATGACCGTATGAGACACAGATGCACTTCTCTAAACCCACGTCCAGACCGGAATAATAAGAGGGACACGCCGTCACGTACGCAGGGCATATGCACGTTTTCCGCCAGTGGTACCGGCCACTGTTAATTTTCCCGCTTAGGTAACACTGGGTGAGAAGGCAGTGAGAGGTTTCTACGGCAGGGGAGAGGGGGAAGATTGGCACAGTATGCAGTGGAGAGTAAGTTATGCCAAAGGTAAGAAGCCGAAGGTCAGGGGTGAGTCACCCAAAGGGCGGATAAAGCGAGCCGTAGTGTCCCGAATAAGTCCTCATACTTATTTCGTAAAAGTACTCTAATCGGTACTGGACAGCCTCAGGGGAGGGAAGAATGTACTCCAGGACACGTAAGGCCTTGAAGAGTAAATCCCATGGTTTAAGGATAGTTCCAGGATATGAACTGTGGTCCCTGGGTCGTGAACGGGAATGTTACACGCGGACCGGAAGAGGGCATAGGTAATCTCTCCCGGTAGAGAGATAAGTCGGATATAAATCGTGTATGTGTGTACCATAAGTCTATCGGACGTGTAGTGAATCCCATAATAGTAGGGTGGATATTTGTGCAATTATTCTGGACGGCCCTGCGATAAGTATCTTTGTCGCCGGTTAGCGGAGCATGCATATGGATTTCGGAAAGAGACATTTATCTCGCCGGGGAGATCGTTGTTGATCCGACGCCTAACACTATCGGAGGGAATTTCGAGGGCTACGAATTAAATTTGGGTGAATACATGAAAGGTGAATGTAACGCGAGCAAGGGTGTGAGAATGTTGAAGGATGAATCTTAGAATAAGGCCGATAGGAATTGCGTAGAATTCGGTTACGGCAGTCGAGCTAGCAACCCTCGAGGGCAACTAAACTATAGCAACGCTAATACGAATTAAGTGGGCAATTTTCGTAATGGGGAGGCCAGTGATATAGGAATGGGTGACTGAACGAATGATCACATTCAATTAATCAATGTAATTACCACCCATAAGTTTGGCAGTGGTCATCGGGACTTCGAATGCCCTGTCCTTCACCTACCCAACTGTGCCGCAAACCCAGCTGATCGGACCCCTCTATCCCTAATCCGAGCAGTGAAGAAGCATCTCGTGCATCATGGTCTATACAATGAACAGAATCATCAAGCCTCTAAATTAAAAAGCATCTTCCATCAGATGTATTTGTATGCAAGGTGGATCTAAATCTACATCTCTATCTGGATCCATACATCTCTGTCAGGTGGATCTCATCTATCAGGATCTCATCACTATCTGGATCCCTCCCTAAAGCTATCTCAGGATCTCTTCAACGACTCTCAGGTTCCCCTGTATCACCAGCTCTACTACCGACAGCATTACAGCAGCGAATCTCTCTCTTCTGCTAAACTAGCCGAACAACAGAGGACTGCGGTTTTGATCAACCGCGATGATACAGCTCTTTCTATTCTTCTTCTCACCTAATTTACCTTGCTACAATACCATACTGGGAGTGACGGAATTGTGCAGCGGTTTATGAACACTCTACCGAACTTTGTCTGAATGTACAGCGAGCCCGGTGCTCAGACTAGCCTCTAAGTCAGAATAGCTGCCATGTAATATATGCAACTATCAGGCGCGGATCCAGGGGGGGCGACGGGGGCGGCCGCCCCCCCCCCCCCGACATCCGAAAAAGGTGCCCATAGCCCGCGGCAGAGAGGGCGCCCCGAGCAAAACAGAGGCGACGCAGCAAAGGTTGAGCAGAAATAGGGCGCCTCCAGCAGAAGTTGGGCTCACCAAGCAGGAGAGCGACGCCCAATTGCCCATTCTCAGCAGATCAGAGTCGCCCCAGAAGCAGATGGGCGCCCCCAGCAGAAGAGGGGCGTCTTATTACAAGAATAAAAAGATGCCTTCTGTTCAAGAGGGGCACTCCTGGCAGGAGAGGTGTCCCCCTGAAGAGGAGCGACGCCCCAGCAAAAGTAGAGAGGCGCCCCCATTCCAAGAAGAAGAGGGGCGCCCTAACCGCAGATAGGCGCCCCAACAAAGAAAAAGAGAAGCCCCATAATAAAAAATGGGTGCCACTGGCAGAAAAGGGGCGCCCCCGGCAGCGGAGGGGGCCCAGCAGGAGAAAGGAGCCTCCAGCACGAGACGGGCGCCCCAGCGAAGGGGGGCGCCCCAGCAGAAGAGAGGAGCCCCCTGCAGGAGAGGGGCGCCCTCAGCAGAAGAGGGGCGCCCCAGCAGAAGAGAGGCGCCACAGCAAAAGTTGATCAGAGATGGGGAGCCTTCAGCAGAGGTTGGGCTCGCCAAGCAGGATAGGGGCGCCCCATTGACAATATCCGGCAGAAGACAGACGCCCCAGCAGCAGATGGGCGCCCCCGGTAGAAGAGGGGCGCCTCATTACAAGAAGAAAAGGAGTATATTCTGCACAAGAGGGGCGCCCCTGAGGCAGCGGAAGGGCAACCCCAGCAGAGGGGCTGTGCCCCAGTAAAAGGAGAGTGGTGCCCCGCTCCGAGCAGAAGAGGGCCGCCCAAGCAAAAAGAGGAGCCCCATAAGAAGAAAAGGGATGCCTCTGTCAGGAGAGAGACGTCCCCCGCAGTGGAAGGGCGCCCCCAGAAGAGGCGTCTCTAGCAAAAGATAAGTGCCCCTGCAGGAGAGGGGCACCCCAGCAAAAGTTGGGCAGAAATGTGGCGCCCCCAGCAGAATTTGGGGTCGCCGAACAGGAAAGGGCCGCTCCATTCACAGTAGAAAAAGGGACTCCCCAGCAGCAAAGGCGTGCCCTGACAGAAAAGGTGCACTCCCAGTAGAAGCGGGACGCATCAAGAAGAAGAGGGGCACTTGCAGCAAAAAAATGGGCGTCCCAGATAAGTGGGACGCCTACAGCAAATTGGTCGTTCTTAGAAGAAATGAGGCGACTTCAGCAAAGTGAGCCTCCCCATGACGGATTGGGCGATCCAAGCAGAGGTTGGGCGCAAATATCTTTAAAACGGCGGCGCTGCGCGCAGCCGTCTTAAAGATATTTGCGAAAAACCTAGGGGGACGTGACAGGCGACAACGCACGGCGTGGGTTTTAAACTCTCGATTTTGACGACGGTTTGGCGCCCCCGGATTGCCAGGTCGCCCCTATTTCAACTTGCCGCCCCCCCCCCCCCTCCCGAAAATTCCTGGATCCGCCCCTGGCAACTATGAAGGCCATTGTAGAGAGAGAGAGAGAGAGAGAGAGAGAGAGAGAGAGAGAGAGAGAGAGAGAGAGAGAGAGAGAGAGAGAGAGAGAGAGGGAGGGAGAGGGAGAGGGAGAGGGAGAGGGAGAGGGAGAGGGAGAGGGAGAGGGAGAGGGAGAGGGAGAGGAGAGAGAGAGAGAGAGAGAGAGAGAGAGAGAGAGAGAGAGAGAGAGAGAGAGAGAGAGAGAGAGAGAGAGAGAGAGAGAGAGAGAGAGAGAGAGAGAGAGAGAGAAAGAGAGGGAGATGAACATCCTGACTTGTTGGACAGGATGGCGATAGACGTCTGTGATGACTGATCTCCGACTGAAACCTCTTCCACAAACTCGTGGCCTATCACGTCATTGGCCACCATGTGTAAGCAGAGCGGCCCATCGTTGTCAAATGTTCCAACGGGCCTGGCGTAGGTATGTACTTACATACCTAACACTATTCGTGCCAGCTAATCCCCATCCCACTCGAATCACCCATACCATGAAATACCATACCATACTGACTGCTGAGGTGGTTGAAAACTCCAAATATCTAAGATGACATTCGCGAGTTATTCGCGAAAATCCGATGGGGTACGTTGGACCCCCTACCTAAGTGCGAGGGGTAATTGACATCAATACACTTTAATAACCTGATTTACAATGATTTCCTGATTTAAATTAGGCCTGGCTGTGGCTACACTATGCGTTTTCTGCGTGCGTTTTTGCAGGTTTGCGTTTTTGCGTAACATCTTTCTAGAAAAATGTTAAAAATAATATAACTTTTCCATTAATTATATACAAAAGCCAATATAACCCTTATATTAACTAAAATTAAGGTAAAAAAAAAACATCACAAAAGCGTAATATTGTTCTTTTTCCTAGAACTATATTACGCTAAACCCGCAAACCCGCAAAGAATTCGCACGCAGAAAACGCATAGTGTAGCCAGGTCTTTGCACTACACTGATTGCCAGCACTTGCCCACATCTCGCTATGACAATTACACCACTCACTCGTAACATGCGGGTGCACGAGATGTGCTCACCGAACAGGAAGTTGTCTGGTCGGAAGAGTTTGCCGATGGGCCCGGCTCGGACGGCGTCCATGGTGCCCGGCTCCAGGTCCACCAACACGGCGCGCGGCACGTACTTGGCATCGCTGCCCTCGTTGAAGTAGACGTTGATGCGCTCGATTTGCAGGTCCGAGTCGCCCTCGTACAGGCCGACGTTGCTCAGGCCGTGCTCGTTTGAAATGATCTCCCAGAACTAAAACAGAAGATAAATGTAATCAGGTATTCTTCCATACTTACAGAACAGTTCAATTCACAAACGGAATTTGATATACGTTTATACTCGTAGGTAATAATACCTACGAGGTCTCGTTGATAAATGAATCTGTTGCTAGGTAATAGCTTGAAAATGTTTCCAACTAGACCACACTTGTCGGTTGATCTGAGGCATTGGTAATTGGCATTCACTTGTTTGGTCATTTCATGCCTCTTCAAAATCAAAAACAGTAAGAATAATAACCCAAATCTCGTATTTCCTAAACAAGGATTCAAAATAAAAACAAAGCAACTTTTTGAAAAGTTGATGGACCTGGCATACCGCCATCGTCAGCTCAACAGAGAGCTGATGCTGGGTACCGCAGGGTAAAAAACTTACGTAAGGTTACTGTTCTCCTTTTTAACAACGTGTCTCAAAATAGCGTTGGAATATATTCAAGGTTATTCAAAGCCATTTGTTTGAAACGTTTGCGATTTAAAGTTTATAGTGCACGCATATTCATTTAGCTTGTAGTTATGCGTTGCGCAATGCTCGACTCCTATTGTTGCAACGTGTCGCATCCGCTGGCCGCTTGTGGAGCTCCGAAGTTTCAGAAGTTGCAAGTTAATTAAAGATTAGTAGAAAGTCCACCACATGTGGCGATCAGTTCCACCTACTTAAACTCTACGACATTTGTGTGAATGTCTGCATAGATGCCACTCCACAGCTGCCCGAGCCACTTGTTCCGGACCTCCAAAGTCCGTGGCGGTATGAGAATATCCCCAGTCTCTCCAGACGGATCTTCGATCGCCACTGCCCTCGATCCTTGTGATCCGTGAACCCGTGTCGCTACAGTGAGAGGCCATGGCTGACCCTGGATCATCGAGCGACGACGGGCGGACAGGTTTTGAGCAACAGAACCTGCTCGCAGGCTCGCCCCACCGAAACACTCACTGCAAAACGTCATATTCCTCGTTGAGTGATTCCCCTCCCTCGGCCGCCGCTCCGCCGTCCCTGAGTAGAGGCGAGCTGGGAATGCTGGCGTGTCTCTCCACCAGCAGTCTGCTGATCGGCTGCTGCATCGGCCTGCAGGAGCCGTTCTTCACGCACGAGGCGCGCTCCCACGGCCTGAGCACGGCCTCCTCCGGCTCCGTCTACAGCTGCTTCGCTCTGGTGCAGATGCTGGCGTTCCCTGCGGCCGGCTGGCTGGCGCCGCGGCTCGGCGTGACGCGGCTCTACCGGCTCGGCCTGCTGCTGGCCGGGGGAAGCACGGTGGCGTTCGGCCTGCTCACCTACCTCGATCGGCCGGCGCCGTTCCTGGCCTGGTGTCTGACGGTGCGCGCTGCAGAGGCCATAGGCACTGCCGCCGCTCAGACAGCCGAGCGCACCATCACCATCCACCAGTTCCCGAGCCGGGTGAACTCGGCCATCAGCGTCGTGCAGAGCATGTACGGAGGAGGTTTGTGCCTGGGCCCGGCGCTCGGCGGCGCTCTGTACACTCTGGGCGGCTATGGGCTGCCGTTCTACACGCTCGGTGTCCTACTGGCCTCCACAGCCGCCGTCAGCCTGGCCCTGATGCCGCCCTTGGCGGACCGACCAGCAGACAAGACTGAGGGTGGCTGTCGACGCCAAAAGTACCGCGCAATGATGGTTCCGGTGATCTCCTCCGCAGACAACTGGCTTATCCTCATCACGCTGGTACTAATCGGTGCCAACTGGAACGCCCCGGACGCCAACCTCGAACCGTACGTGAACCAAGTCCTTGGCATCCAGCCGGCCGAGCTGAGCCTCTTCTTCCTGGGCTCGTTCGCCGGCTACGCGCTCTCGAGTCCGCTGTGGGGCCGACTCTCGGACTACGTCGACAACACATTCCTGCTGGTGTCTGGCTGCCTGGCGCCCACCGCTCTCGGCGTGCTGCTGGTGGCGCCGCCGGCCCCGCTCGGTGTGCGGCCGTCCCGCCTGCTGCTCGCTGCCGGTATGGTGCTGCGCGACGTGTTCCAGGTGGGCGCCTACCTGCCGCTGCTGCCGCTGATGGTGCGGCTGTCCGCCGCGCGCGGTCTGCAGAGCGACGTGGGAGGTCAGGCGCTGGTGTCGGCGGTTTCCGGAACGGCCTACTCCCTGGGGAATCTGCTAGGTCCGGTGGGCGGCGGGCTGGTGACCGACCACCTCGGCTTCCCAGTGGTGACCTCGTGGCTGGCCGGCGCCACGGCTGTCCTCTGTCTGCTGATGGCCGTCCGCGGCCTGGCCTTCCAAGTGAAGAAACAACCTGCACACCAAATGGTAGCCGAGTACAATGGGCTGAAGTAAATGATGTGCAGTTACATTACACATCATTGTTTTACTATTTAATATCAATGCTAGCCATATAAATGATGTGCAGTTACATTACACATAATTGTTTTGCTATCTAATATTAATGCTAGCTATACTAGTAATGTACCAGCTTATCTGACGTTGCGCACATTGCACAGTGCCCAGCTTCAGAATAGTCGAGGTCTTTCGAATTCTATGGTAACTAGCATGATATGATGATTGGGCGCTGTATAGCAATAAACATACACGTCTGTTAGAAATATAAGATCATGTATTAACTGACCTCATATGGATGAGGTACAGGGAGTTTCGATTGGCCTGTAAGAGGTGTAGAAAGGGGAACTAGCTTTCCTGCTGGGACTACTGTGCAGCAATTGGTCATTTGAACGTTATGTATTTGTGACGTATTATGCGTTTTTTTGTGAAGTACGTACCTATGTAATGTATGTCAACGGATTGTCCTATTCCGGCTGTTTTGATCCGTTAATGACTGTTTAACCCTCGCCCGGTGAGGGGGGGGGGGGTGTTGATGCAACACCCCCTCCTAAGATTTAAGATTTTTCGCAAATAACATAAAAACGGCGGCGTGTAGCGCAGCCAAATTTGGCATAGGCTCTGGGGCAGCCTTTTTTCACCTATCCTGAAAATTTTAAGTCCCATTCTTTTCAGGTCAGGTCACTAGGTCACAAAAAAACCGGTACAAGGTCAGGGGAAAATTGAACTAGTTTAGCGGCAACTGAATGACAGCGTTATTCGTTGATAGCGTGGGTGCTATGGCACGTAACGCTACCGAATTTCAGGCACGACTTGGGGCATCTATTTGTCACTTGACCAGGGAGTTTTAGGTTCCAGTGACCTGAGGTCGGGTCACAAAGTCACAAAAACCTGTAAATTGTCAAAATGGCACTGAAAATGCACTATTTCGTTCCTGGAAACTATAGAGTTCTTCATCGCTTTGATTCAAACTTGCAGGATATGCTGAGGTCACCAAGTGCCATCATATGCATCTCATATTTTCAAATTCGGTTGACCTGAGGTCATCTAGAGGTCATGACAGTTTTTAAGGAAATTTGCCCGAACGTGTAAAGATAAGAGAGTTGTGCTTTCTTTTAACATTTTTGTGTTTTACTTCCTTGATTTACATCTACTTGGTGTTTGCAAGCTACAAGAACGCTTGAGTCGGGTCAACTGAGGTCAACTAAGGTCAAACTACTTTTTTGCTGATAACTTGGCACACAATGAGGCTAGAGCTTCAAAAATGGTGTCGTTGTGTTCCTTGTGATCAGGCGGTTCGAATGATATGCAACATGATGCATTTTGATTAAGTTCAACTTGGTTAATTACTTTAAGTTTACTTAATTTTAAAAGAAAATTTGAAGTTCACTTAAATTGGTAACAAAGTACATCATTCGATGTGCACGGACATCCTGAATTCACTGGTGCTTTTATTTTTGTTCTATATTTACCAGATAAAAAGATATAGAGGGTTAAAAATAGTCGTTTTCGTGAAAGTTCGTAGACACATGTATAAATGCAATCGCGAGGGAATAAAATATCTGGTGTTAGGCGACAATTTTGAGGTTTTCTAACAAATTTCACAGGCCTCTTACTGGTTTAAAGGCCTAATATTCTGATGTTTAAAAACATAGCAGGTGGTATATCGACATTGAACCAATTTTTCGTGTCTATAAGAAAGCAAACTTCAGAAATCCTCACATCCTGGGAAACCCTTTTGCCACCGACATGACCCATGTATACAGAGGTCTATGTCACCGATAACTAATTAACAGGGGCAAGCTCGCAAGCGTATGTCTATATTTCCTGCAACTATGTGATCGACCCCAAACCAGCTAGCGCGTCACGCGGCCATTCCCCGGAATCGGGCAGTTTCGTGACGACCCTGTTGACCTGGCCTCAGACCAAACGGTGCAGACGTCATGACACGAATTCCAGCGTAGGCGCACTCAGAACACCGCCCAGGGCTTATACGAGACATGTCTAAAAGGAACACAAAACATAACCAGTGTATAACTGGAGGCAGTTCCTTTACGCACGCACTGTACACACATTACGCGGCTATTAGGTGATTGTATGCTGCTGGGGCGGCGAGTAACAGTCGCCACTGGTCGCCGTTCAGTTCCGGTCGGCTCTGGTCAGCGCCACCGAGCTGCTGCCTGGTCAGTGGTCACTGGTCAGCCCCTCGGCGGCCGGCTGGCGGCGGTGACAGCGCCGCTGACCGCGTGCCACGGCTCGATGCCCCCCGTCCCGCCCGTGCCGGCCACCGGGCGACTCACGGCACGTCGTTATCGATGATTGCCGCCGGCGCGTGCCGTGCCAGGTCAGAGCGGCGGAGGGGGAGGGGGCGGGGGGGAGTCTGAGCTGTTTGCAGAGTAAGGTGACCAGTGGCCAGCCAGTGACAGAACTGAGGTGACTGAGCTGTGCTGTGGGTTATGGTAACTGACTCAGACTATTGCTGACAGTTGACGATGTCAGCTGTAAAGGCAGTGATGAGGTATGATTGATAGCTTCGAGAATGGAGGCGATAAGCCACCCACTACATTGTGACCTACATAATGGTAAAGACCTACCCAGCGCGGCCAGGCGCAGGTTCACGGCGACATTCCATATAGCCGATAGTCATTCCACGCAGCCAATAGGTAGGCACTCCGCGAAGTGAGCATAGTCAC